GTCCGAAATATCGGGAAACCTCAAGTCGCTTTTGTCTTTGCTGTTTTGTTATTAATGTTTATATTCATGGACTAAGTTATTTTTGGGAATATTTTGGAGTACTTTCCGCGGAAATGTAAGCTCTACTCAGTACGTGTGCGTATCCGTAGTACAATATAATTTTAATAGAAAGGAAACTGAACGTCATTAACAAGTCAAAAATAACATTTTCCGGTTTTTTTTTTCCTTTTAATGCCTGGTTTGTGGGACTTGTGCGATAGTGTAAATTTGCTGAAAATTCAAACTAAAATAAACTTAGACTTGGTTTTAACACTGTGAAAAGATTCAAAAGCCGGCGTCCTAAAAGTTAGTTTTTCTTCAGAGCCCTTTGTATTCGCGATGGGTTGACGCTAAAATCATCAGCCTCTGAATATATTCACGGTGTTAAATTGACCTTATCAACTCATTGATTTCATGAAATCAAATTATTATCACTCGCCCACCGACCCAGCTCTGTATTTTTTTTTAAGCTTACCCCTTCGTTTAAAAATTGAACTAGTCTGCGAAAACGCCGTGACGGGTTATGGAAGCCTTTCTCCGCCTACTACCCGTGCCTAGGGGACCAATAAATATTAATAGCTCTGCATTCACTGCCAACCCTCGGTAACGTGTTTTCTCTTCAATTCCCAACACATTCCCATTCTATCCAAGAGGGGGTGGGTGGGGGTACAATGACACAGCAGACTGCAAACAGACAACATTCGCCTAGTCTGCGTAGCGAGCGCTTGGCGCGACGGAGACACTAACAAAAAGCGCCGGCTAAGCAGGCTAATGTTTTAGGTGCTCCACGTAACACGTTTTATCCGACTCCTTCACTTAAAACCTAAAGGGTGGCTCAAGTCTCGTTACATGGACGTTTAATCCTCTTCAACTAATCCTGCTCTACCTGTATGGCAACGATAAAATGTCGCACACAATCACAGAAAATCCTCGCTCTCTACAGATGGCAGCAAGGTTAAGACTTCTGTCAGAGCCAGTTTTGAATATGTTGTCGTTTATTCCGAGATATTTTCCATTTCCGCAGCCAACATCAGCCACAAGACTTCCCACGGGTTGCTGTCGGAGAAAATCCGCTACCCTCGGCCATGGGCTGTGGCGTGTATCGCTAAAATGCGGTGCAATCTTCTCGTAAACTTCATGAACATGAAGCTTCTCTAGATTTTCTGCTTCTACTTCAGACTTCGGAACATCAGACGCTGGAGGAACCTGAGATGAACTCTTATTCTCAGTTTGCGAATCACACTGAGACAGAAAGCTGCAGTTACATGGAGTATGGCGAATCTTCCGCCAAGTTAGGGATATCCTTGTTTCTCTTTCAAACAGGGTTGTCCCCGTCTCGGCTCCTTCATTGGAGGTACAACCATCCCTGACGTTTTCACTGATATCAGCTCCCTTGCTCGATGTGCTTTGTTTGTCGTAAATGATATCGTGTTTTCGTGGTGTTATACTGAAAAGAAATCACGTCAGATCTTAAGAGACACTTTGTCATACATTTTTTTTATTCTAAGCAATATAGGACAGACAGAATATCACGTGCATCAGTCCAAGCTCATAAGAGGCTAAAAACACAGGAGGGATTTCGTTACAACTATTCTTACGAAGCACGAATTTTTAACACTGCTGAATATTTAGCAAATCGGGGATAAGGAGTAAAAACAACCCCCTGTTTGGGTAGCAGGGAGACGATATCCTAGTTATCATAAAACAGTATAGAATTTATGCATTTCGTGAGCCAATACAATAATAATATTACTTCAGTGATCCAGACTGGTATCTTGAACAATTTATCTGGAAAGTCCAAAATTTACCGCAATGTTTGAAAGTGAAATTTCCGTTCTAAAAATAAGTTTCGAAAAGTTTCTAAAGCAAAAAATTTCTCAGCTTAATAGTGTCCAAGTTCCTTTTAATCTTTAACAAATCTTTTCCCTCAAAAATGTTGAACATTGGACTTTAACTGCCAATAACTTACGCTGGACTAAATGGTGAGATTTTATCTTACCAAAGAATTGCGGTCATTTCACCCAAAAATCAATTCGCAAAATGGCGTTTTGCCCGGAGTTAAGTTGATTTGCCCCGTGACATAATGATTTTCGACACACTTAACCCTTTCACTGCCAGAGTGTTTGATGGAGTTTTGGAAGGTGACTCTAACTTTTGAGTCTATGGACGAAATCCAATGATGTCACCATTCAAATGAAACCTCTCTGCCCGTACTTTCAAATGTTGCTATTTGTTTGTCAAAATTTTAGACAATGAAATTTGCAAATTTGGTGGAAATTTGCCTTTAGCCACATTTGGCAGTGAAAGGGTTAACATACTTACCAGAAATGTTGTTTTAGTTATGCTTGGATTCCATATGAGCAGTTACTATCTTTTCATGCTTATTCCCTTTAAGGCTTAAAAAACGGCAAATACACCCCAAGCGAATTGAGAGATCAAACTTAGGGTGAAACGATTTGATATCTTACCCATGACTCCAAAGGTACCGACTTTCTCCTGTCATCACAAGCAAACTTCTTCTGGGTAAAATAACTGGTACATGGCGACCATCAGGATGACGGAATTCCATTGTCACCTAAGAAAGTCACAAAAATGAATAAAGGAAGAGAAAGATAGGGAAAAATTAATTACAGTGGAAGCTCTAGAAAGCGGACACCCTCGAGACGCGCAAAAGGTGTTCGTACCTGGAGCTGGCTGCTTACGACAATGTAAAAATAGAGAATTTGTATGGGAGTTGAGTAAAACGGGGTTTTGTGAAGGTGGCCATCAGTAGAGCTGTCCTCTTACCAGAGTATCCATTACGAGAGCTTCCACCATAACAAATACATTATTACCTGTGAGCCAAGACTAACTGAAGCAATCCCATCTTCAAAAGCTGAATGGGTGTCTATGTGAGGAGGAATACCTTTAAACAAAGTAAAAGCATTTCTTGTCAAAACGTTTCTGCTCAGCATAGTTTTTTTTTTAATTTTGAGACAATAAATATAAAGAAAAGTCAGTGATGTTCAACTCTGACCAATCTACTGGAGGGAGCAGAAGGAAAGGGCAACATTTATTGTTTACAAATCACACTAAACTAAGCCAAAAATTTCATTTCACATTCCATTACATAATTCAAAAGGATTTGACTGGAAACATTATAAATTTAACCTGAAATACTTCAAGTGAATTGCTCAGCCTTTATCAATCTGTTTGATTATGCCTAAAGTGATCACATGACCTTAAAATGGTCAACTAACATGGACTCCACGTTTATCACAATCCAATTAAAAACCTCACAAAAAAACTGTTGCAAATCAAAGATAATACAACGACTTTACAAAATTACAATGTAATTACCATTTTAATTGTGTAAACTGCAACCATAATTGTGTAGGAAAAACAGCCAGGCTCCTTAGTCCCGAAAATGAACAAAAAACAGGGAGAGTGGGAACAGAGTGTAAAGAAAGAGGTGTACAGATAGGGAGAACACGCACGCTGAGTATTAAGGTTAAAAGATTTTGCCTACCTTGCCCTGGTTTGTACTCATTCACAGTCATTTGGTCAGGTCTGAATGCTACATGCTGCTGGATACGTTCAAGTGTGACATCACAAACACTAGGAATGCCATCATGCAAAGGATTTGATTTGTCCACATTGTTGGTCCCATACAAGAACTCATAACCAAAATGTTTGACTCTTCTGTGACGAAGCTGCTGATTTGCTGTAGAAATGTAAAGCCATGTTTTAAACTATACCCCATGATTAACTCCTAACAATGAAAAACTGAAAGATTGCTATACCCTTGATGCATAACTACCCTGGTTGTATTGTTTGTCTTCAGCATCAAGTATACACAATGTGACCACTTTCAAGAATAATAATATCATTGTAAATTAAGGGAATTTATAAAATGGATCTATTTTTATTCACTAATGATTCACAGGTAAATGGCCAACTTAAACCGAAACACTAGCTTGCATGCTGTTTTACTGTGGTTTTGACTGTTTTTGAGTTTGAACTTTGAGTTTGCCTTGCAAGTTTCAACCTAAACGTTCTAAGGTTATCATAGATCCATTCAACAGTGAACATAAAAAGAGACATACATGTGTGGTGCACACTATATATCTTAGGTGCAGCTTGCCATGCAACTCTGGGCCAAACTTGTGGTGTGGAGGGGGATGGGAGGGGGTGGGTGAATGAGTTCACAACCAAGTGAATTGCTGTACACTGTAAAGAAATACCTGTTCCCTGATATTCACTATCACAGCTGTCACTACCCCACCCTAGAGCTTTGATCAGTTCTCCTTCTTCTGCATCATTGACAAAATCTTCCACCAAAACGAGGCCAGACGGCTTAGCCTGATTCTCAATGGAGACGTCATCAGGTACACTTGCAAGGAAGGAAAGATAAAACGTCACTTCGGGTCTTGGGAATTCTGAAGGGCAATCCAAGACGCGTCCATGTAGCGCCTTCATGGCTTTCATCGATTCATTGACATATTCAAACGACAGAAATGAAAATGATCGGCCCGGAAACATTAAAATTCGTTCTATGTTGCCAAACTTCTGGAACAAGCTCACGAGCTGACTACGTTGTATACCACACATTAACCCTCCATTTCCAATCATCAAATGGCGAGTAGGTATTTCTGATATGCTTGCTAAATCGGCATTGTGTCTGCGAAGAGAATTCACCAGTCTTGTTTGCTTTCTTAAAGCCTTTTTCTCTGCTTTGGTCAATTTAGAAGCACAAGATTTCATGACATTAGAAGTCGCCATCTTGCATTCTAAATTTGCAAAGATAACCGCATTCTAAACTTTTGCTGGCTCAGAAATGTTCTAGGCGGGTACACCGCTGACCAAGGACGACCTAAGGCTTCTGGTTTTGAATTTTCAAGGAATTTTCAGAAGAGTTTAAACTGGTAATAAGCCTGACGGTGTAGAAAAAGAATTTTTATGCAGAGCAACGCAAGGTTGTCAAGTATACGGAACCATATATCTCTTGAGAAGGTACGAATAAGGGTTATTGTAATTTAATGAATCTTAGATAAGGCACGCGAATTTCGAAGATTCCACTTTTGGCAAAGTACTAATAGGTGTCTACTAAATCAGCTGAATCCGTTCAAGAACATCACTATTCAGCTGTTTCACCATAAAAAGTGAGGAACATAATTTATTTCCAAAATTCTCAATAATTTCACTCCTGTGGCATATGCCATTGTCAGTTCATTCCAGAATATTTTTTTACCTAACAACGTCCTCCTAGGTCCTTTTCTATGATAATTATCTCCAAAGCCTTTTTCGAAGAACTATAAAAGCCAAGCCAGCTCAGAGTATTTGTGGTCCTGTGATTAGCTATTCAATAGCCATGTGTTGCTTCTTCATACTTCTTTCTTTTTGATATTATAATATTTTATTTTGGATGTCATTGTATACCAACCTTATGCACTCCTGTTGTTACGTTAGTTAAGTAGAAGTAAAGTGGTTGCATTCACACTAGGTGCTCATGCCTCAGATTTTTGGCTTCAGCACTAGTCTGAACTCATGTTGGTCCTCATGTCAGGCAAAAATGTTGGTACCTTGCTTTGGTGTAGGGACTACCTCTAGACAGATTACTTGAGGATGGTGATGGATACTTCCCTAAAAAAACTGTTACTAGTTCAGGACTGCTCTTTTTTTCCCTAGCTTCCCTGTGATCTGGTTACCAAAATGGCATGCACAGAGAAATCAATCACCATCTCCCTTTCCCCCTTCCCCAATCAAAATCATAAATCTGCCCCTTAATTTATAAGTAGCAAACAACAACACTCACTAAGTGCGATTAGTGAACAGTATGGCAATCATAAATCAACAAGCCTCTAATTGCTTGAATGTATTGTAAAGATCCTCCATTCACATCACACCAGGGTGTCTGAACACCATAGCTGTTCTATATATTTGCATAAGAAAGTATTTTCAGTCAAAACAAGTGACGTTTAGAGTTAAAATAAAGAGTTTGAGTGGTTTGAACATAATATACTATATGACCAATGTTGAGTTTAACACAACTTAACGTAGCAGGTACCTTTATGAACAGTGCCTGCAAAACCCTTAGAAACTATAAAAAAGTACCAGAAGAAAGCAATTCTTCACACTGAATAATTTGAAGGATCATTGCAGTTATTCTCTGAATAAACAAGTAAATAGTCTACCTCAGGTAGTCTTCTTGATTCCTGGTTAATTTGGAATTTGGAGATGTTGGTTTTTGAGGAGAAGGGAAAACTGGGGTACCTGGCCTGGAGAAAAACCTCTCGGAGCAAAGGAGAAAACCAACGACAAACTCAACCCACATATGACATTGACACCGGGATATGAACCCGGCCCACATTGGTAAGCGGAGGGGAGGGGTAAGTGCTCTTAAGGGTCAGGGGGTGATCAACAGCAAAGCCACATCAATTTCATCTTTATTATGTGTATTGTAAAAACTACAGTCACCTCTTTCTAAGTCGGACACCTTCAGGGCCGGTACTAGGTGTCCGTCTAAGAGAGATGTCCATCTTATAGAGAGTCAACTAAAGGGAGTAAAGAAAGGCAGGGACCAACTCTAGGTGTCCGTTTTACAGAGGTGTCTGTCTTATAGAGGTGTCTGTCAAGAGAGAGTCGACTGTACACATTCCCCTCGAAGCAGTATCTCAATTTCAGGGGTTCAAAGCCTTCACTTTTGTTGAGATCAGGTACCTCTTTGTTTGCATTAATTACAGGATTTTATGAGCCAGAGCCATACCTAATTTCCCCTCAAGAATATTAATGTGACCAGAACAAAATAATCATGAACAAATGTTTATTCACAAAACTCATGATTCCATGGTTGCTTATTACTTTTGACTTCACTATTGGACAATTTTGTCCATATTAACCCAAGACTGATACAAGAATAAACTTAAGGAAATCCTTCTTTATTCTTGTTTCGCTCACAAGCTGGGATTCCCCTCTTCAAGGGGCGGAGGGATGTATACTCCAGATTCCAAGTGACAGAATTATTGAATAAAGACAAAGATCTCCCCAGGGCTAATCCAACAGATCCCCAAATGATCCCTTGACCAAACATTGTCCCCCTCCCCTAAAAAACTCTCATGTAAATTTACAAGCCTGAGAATTCATTTTAAATTAAAGGAATTCCTTAAGGGCCTTACACTTATATATTTGGGACTTTTCACCCCTTGTTCTTTTCAGACAAAAAAATGTCAGAGTGATGACAAAATCTCTTAACAGTGTCTCTAAATTTCACATCAACTAGTGCCATCATTGGTTTAATAGTGAAGTAAAAGAGGCGGTAATGTGAGAATGAAGTGATTCTACAATGATAGATCATTTTAAAAATAGTTATTGTACAGCAAAGTGAAATAATGAAGTAGTGGTTAAATTGGAAAAGACAAATTTTCCATGAAAATTCAATGCGGCCACTGGTGACATTCAGAGCACCACCTTTTAAAATAACCCATTTCAGAACAGCATTATTTTAAAACTACTAGCAAATGGGGGTAAGCTATTTGACTCGCCGAATAATGGCTATTAACCTGGGCTGAGTTGTACAAAGCTAGGTTAAGATAACCCAGGGTTAGTGCGAGATTTGAATTCAGATTTGAGAGCTTAAAAAGCATTTCAGTTTTAATTCTTTTTGTCTACAAGTTGATGATTGGAACCTCTAAAAATAACAGAGAAAATTATCCGAGAAAATTCTTTTGAACAAAAGAAAAAGAAACCCGGCTTAAGCGTTAATCAGCCTTAGAACAACTGGGCACTAGTTTCTAAAACATAAATTGTTGCTCCTGATTAAAGTGGATGAAAGTACAGTCAGTGGGTACTTATTTTCTTTTACACGACTGCTTAAATCAGTCAGGCGCGGATGCACACCGGTTAACTACCGTTTTACGGAAATCGGTCAGATTTTTCATAATAGATATGTTTTAAATAAGTAAAAAGCTTTCCAAGTTGCAAGGCTTCATCCGAGGTGAATGGTTCTTGCCAATATCCTGTCTGAATGACTCGGAAACCCACAGGAGAGGGGACTTTAGGGAGTTAAAATCTAAAAAATTTACCCGGGAAGCACGCCCCTGGACCCCCAAGAATCTTGCGCCTTCAGCGCTCGTTTAGGAAATCGGTCAGTATTTATCCTAGATCCGCGCCTGTCAGTCATGGAGTCACAGCAACTCTGCAATTCTCAAAGCGTGCTGCGCTATATTTTGGGCCCAAACTATCTTGATATCAGTTTCAGTGGTTTAAAACAGTTTGTTATTTATTTCCTTAAGCCAATAGAGTCGGCTAACCTTTGTTTTCTCATTTAAATGTGTTAAACAGAAACACGCCCAAGACTTATGAAAGGAAAAGAGATCCGGGAAAGATGTAAACAATGAACATAGGAATAATCAATCTGAATAAAAAATACGGAGATTGGCTAGAACAATTTCAGAACCATCGTCGTAGTTTAAAAGTAGGTATTAGAAATAAGCTGCATGTTATCTGCTTGCAAAGAGAGTTAAAGGGGTAGAAAAGAATAGGAAATTAAAAGGCAGTACACGGATAAACCGACTGGGTATTAGATTTGACGAAAGCCTGGATCAAAAACAACATCCTTTCCTTACTTTTTTTCATTTGGGAAAGAAAATCGCAAAAAGTTTCACTAGTAATAGCCTACGTAGAATCTGCTGGAAATTAAAAGAAGATACGTAAATAATCAAAATTCCATACAACAATTCGAAGCGTTAAGGAGAATCGATGACTTCTGTTGCCACAAACCATTGTTAATTTTGTTAATATGCTGGTGGCGTCATATTTTAATATTGATTAATTAGGAAATCATTGAATAACGGCTTCAGTAAGGAAAGGCAAAGAGGAAAATAAATGTTAAGGTACATTTATGACGGTTGTTTGAGAACAAAACCTTGCGAGATTGTTATTTCTCAAGTTATTTTAATGTACAGGTTGGCTATGAGTTTTAGGTTTCTAATTTATACTTAGATATAGAATTAATACGGGTAAGCCGGGCGAGGACAAGACAATTATGTAGTAATTAAAAGCATCTTCTTTTGTCCCATGGAATAATTTCTAGTCTTACTTTAGATCTTTTTATATCTGACCGAATATAAAGTTTTTTTATCGCTAAAAATCCGGGTAGATGTACTCATCTTTGTACGCTGTAGTTTACGTTAGGTGCTTGAAGCGAACGTGGTCCACGCTTCTCCGAAAATATCTCTTACTAAACAGACTAAACTAATACTGATGTAATTTCTACTTCACTCGACCCTTCAAGTCTAGATCTATTGTCTCCCTTAAGAATATTGCATATCGTTGTTTTTAGCCAAGGGCAAATATATGTGAGAGCAGTACTCAACAACGTAAGGGTTTTATTCTCTCTCTACCGAAAATTCCTTGTAACTTTATGGGATAATATTTAAAAACGACCTGCCAGCGCTGCTGATAGTGTCGACTTCGTTATGTTGTCTTCCCGGGCGCCTCAACAGCCCTGTTCAAAGTTTGGCATCATTTAAATTCGTTTCTGAGGGCATTTTTACACAAAATCAAACCTACAACATCCTATACCACTTATTTCTTTTAAGGCTATTATTTTCCAAAACTTCCTAAGTTTTAAATTCCTGTTTAATGAGCAGAATAAATGGCTAAACATCAAATACGAAAACATAGCCATTTCGTCCAAAATTTTCCGTTTTCTTATGATGTGTGTATAACTAGATATTTTTCAAATCCAATATAAAAACACTTATTCTTGCAAAGCAGCATAT